GGGGGGGGGGGGGGGGGGGGGGGCTGCCATGATGCAGTTTACTTGGCATCTGAAAATACATTTCCTCAAAGGTATTTTTAATATTCACTGAGTGAGAACTAATGTTGAGAGCTCAGCAGACAGTTAAGTTTCACTTTCACCCAAGAGCCTGCAGGAGTCATGGGCGGGGTGTGTGGGGAGGGGAGGGTGCTCTGCCATGAAGAAGTTTGGCTTAAAGACACGTCCCAGAGGTGTTTCTGGTCCCCACCTGTCGTTTTGCTCCTCAGCATGGCTTCCTAAAAATGCTGCAGGATTTCTCAAACATGCATGAATGAGTCAAAGCAAGGCTTTGGGCATGTTTTTATGAGAGTATAACATTGTAACATGATATAAAACTCAAAAAAGTTTATTTTACATGATATTGCCCCTTTAAACTTGTTGTTTCTGCCAGCAATGTTTAATAAGCCACAATAATGCAGTTGTTTGTATAAAAAGACCTGTTTAGTTCATAATGCTGGAAGGAATCTTTGTCGGCTGCTTGATAGAGTTACTCCAGATCATACATTAAAATGTCACAAGGGATCAGTGTCACACATTATCCAGGATGCTGATATTTTCCCAATTTAATTTAATCTTTAATTTCCCTGAAGGAATATTCCCAATAAAGTTATCTAATCTAATCTAATGAAGCACAAATAAAACATAGTTTACATGATGCTGATTTTGAGTGAAACTGTTTTTTGCTGTGGTTCGGCCGCCATTGTTCTCTCTGAAACGAGGTTTTTGAACCCTGGCCTCAGAGTGGTCTCCCCCCCACAGAGGTGAGAAGCACCTCGCAGCTGTGAAAGTGCGCATGCACAAACAGCCGGCAAACAGCAAAAGTTTCTTCTAAACCAGGGATAGTCAATCCTGGTCCTTGAGGTCCACAGCCCTGCATGCTTTACTTGTTTCCCTTCTCTAACACACCTGAGTCAGTCAGTGGATTACCTCTTCCAAGTTCCACAGAAGCCTGAAAATCATTCATATCAGGTGTGTTGGAGCAGAGAAACAAGTAAAACATGCAGAGCTGCGGACCTCCAGGACCAGAATCCCTGTTCTAAACTTTCAACAAGTACAATAAATTAAAGACAGCAGGGTGTTTTTTTTTCTGTTACTCACCTTTGCAGCTTGTAAAAGCAAAACACAAAGAGCATCATAGGTCCAAACAAATGTTCGTTTTTTTCACCAAGTTTGGACATAACTGTGATCATCAGCAGCTGCAAGATCAGTGCCTGAGTGAGACCGGCATCAGGGTTGACAGATAAAAAAATTAAAATTTACCTCTCTTTTTCTATGCACGTTTTCACCAAATACAACACTAACTTTATCTTGCAACAGTCTCACTCAGCACATATGACTGAGTGAGTCATACATATACAGCACATCTGCTGTTTGACTCAAAATATGATAATTTTAAAGGAACAGTAAAACACTTTACTATGTCTCATTTGGCAACCCTCCCCAGATAAGATTTCCTCTTCACTCTGCACCCTTTTCACTCATGGCATGATTTGCTTTTTGCGTTTTTATTTTTACTTTATAGATTGTTTTTGTTTTATTAAATAAATAAATAAATAAATAAATAAATAAATAAATAAATAAATAAATAAATAAATAGTACTGTTGGCTTCAGTTGATTAGCTGTGGTGGCAATCTTGGATGGGGTTGACTTCAAATGTTAATCACTTGTACCATCTGTGAGAATTTCCCAAGAATTCATTTAATCTGTCCAGTGGGTCATGAGATTTTGCTAACAGAGAAACAAACAAAAAACATTACTGCCCTTTTGCATTTGTGGATAAACCCAGAAACTGAGTGACAGGTGAACGTGTCATCCCTGTAGGTGAGTGACTTCACCTGGTCACATGATGGCACTCAAGCCCTCATTGCCTACAGAGATGGCTTTGTGTTGGTCGGCTCGGTCAGCGGTCAGAGACACTGGTCCTCTGAGATCAACTTGGAGAGTCAAATCACCTGTGGCATTTGGACACCTGATGATCAGCAGGTAGAAAATATTTTGCTCACTGTGTGCTGTTTTCCTCCATCGTCTGTCATAAAACCACAATGATCTTTGATGGAAAACAGCAAGTAGAAAGACTTCCCACCCAAAGAGGACAAATGCAGTCATCTGGTAACCTTCTGTGTGTGATGCTCCTCAGGTTTTGTTTGGCACAGCTGATGGACAGGTGATAGTCATGGACTGTCATGGCCGAATGCTGGCTCACGTGCTCTTACATGAGTCTGATGGAATTGTGAGCATGTCGTGGAACTGCCCTGACTTCCTGATAGAGGACAGCACAGAGAGCGACACGGACTCTGACGACAACATCCTGCCTTTAGGTACTTCCTTATTTTCATGCCTTGTAGAAACCAGGTAACTGTTACCTGAGTACAAACCTTTGTGTTTCCCTCTTCATTCAAGTGAGGAGAGTCAAGCCTTTGCTGACAGTGACCTTCTTATCAGGAGACATCAGTTTGATGAACAACTATGATGACCTGTCTCCTGCTGTCATTCACTCAGGTCTGAAAGGTAGGAAACCAAAACACAAGGAAGACATGACAGGACACGTCTTAATGCTGAGTCAGCATTTACATGACCATTTTCCTCTTTATTGTTTCATCTGGTATACTGTATTTTCGATCATCAAAATGTTCAGTTTCATCTGGAACCGTTTTTAAGACTTTTGTCTTTTGTTCTTTGTAACTTTTATTCTTTACAAAAGACATAACTTCAATATTTTTTTCTCTTCTTTTGCTACTTTTAGCTTTTAGTTACTATTCTGACAATTTTGTGTTTAACCCACTGTTTTGCTTTATTATGACCCCCGCATGCGAAGCCTAAGCGGGAGTCACTTTGTTTTCGTACTGTTTTTTTTTCTCCGGAGATTTGTGGTCAACCGTAGCACAAAAACGGCTGCACTGGTCAACATGAAATTTGTCAGAACTGTAGATGAGTCTGACCTACACTGCGCCAGCCAACGGTTTTACAATAGACCCCATATTTGAGGAGGGGGCTCCTTTCAAAATGGGGGTGTCTGGACATGCAAAAATGCTTCAATTGTTCAACATAGAAGCTTCAGATTTCTTTTGTTGTTTAGCTCTGATGAAGCTCCATCCATCAGGCCCACCATCAGTGCCCCCCCTCCCGAACCCCCAGTTTATCTGAAAAAGGTGTATCTGGACAAACAAAAATGCTTATAACTCAGAAACTGTTCAACATAGAAGCTTCAGATTTCTTTTGTTGTTTAGCTCTGATGAAGCTCCATCCATCAGGCATCCCATCAGCGCCCCCACCCCGCTGGACCCCCAATTTATCTGAAAAAGTGGTGTCTGGACATGCAAAAAATGCTTATAACTCAGAAACTGTTCAACGTAGGAGCTTCAGATTCCTTTTGTTGTTTAGCTCTGATGAAGCTCTATCCATCAGGCATCCCATCAGCGCCCCCACCCCGCTGGACCCCCAATTTATCTGAAAAAGGGGTGTCTGGACATGCAAAAAATGCTTATAACTCAGAAACTGTTCAACATAGGAGCTTCAGATTCCTTTTGTTGTTTAGCTCTGATGAAGCTCTATCCATCAGGCCCAGACCCCCCAATTTATCTGGAAAATGGGAATGTTATGGCTCAAAAGCTATTAAACATAGGAGTTTCAGATTTCTTTTGTAGTTTAGCTCTGATGAAGCTCTATCCATCAGGCCCAGACCCCCCAATTTATCTGGAAAATGGGAATGTTATGGCTCAAAAGCTATTAAACATAGGAGTTTCAGATTTCTTTTGTAGTTTAGCTCTGATGAAGCTCTATCCATCAGGCCCAGACCCCCCAATTTATCTGGAAAATGGGAATGTTATGGCTCAAAAGCTATTAAACATAGGAGTTTCAGATTTCTTTTGTAGTTTAGCTCTGATGAAGCTCTATCCATCAAGCCCACCAATCAGTGCCCCCCATCCTCCCGGAAC